AGTTTTCATCCGAATCCATTGGGGAATGGGCCGATTCTGCTTTTATTTCTTGGCCAGGAACCTCTTGATCCTGAAAGTCTTGTGGGAAGACATGGTGAGGCAGAGGCGAACGCACGCACCTCGATGGCGGAGAAAGAGAGCTGATATTTTTATTCTTTATGCCTATGTTTCTCTCTCTCTCTCTCTCTCTCTCTCTGTCTCTCTCTCTCTTTAAATATGTATTTTATTGATTTTAGAGAGGAAGGGAGAGAGAGATAGAAACATCAATGATGAGAGAGAACCATTGATTGGCTGACTCCTGCATGCCTCCTACTGGGGATCAAGCCCGTAACCCAGGAATGTGCCCTTGGCTGAAATCGAACTCAGGACCCTTTAGTCCACAGGCTGACGCTCTATCCACTGAGCCAAACCATCTAGGGCTCTCTCTCTCTCTTTCTTCTTCTCATTACAGCAGTGCCTTTAGCATTCCTTTTGGTGATCAACTCCTTGAGCCTTTTATTTTGTCTGGCAAGGTCTTTATTTCACCATCTCTTTGAAATGATAGCCTTGATGAATATAGTAATCTTGGTTTTAGATCCTTGCCTTTCATTATCTTGACTACTTCATGCCATTTCTTTCTGGACTGTAGAGTTTTCGATGAGAAATCAGCTGACAGCCTTGTGGGAGCTCCTTTGTTGGTAACAAATTACTTTTCTCTTGCTGCCTTTAAGATTCTCTCTTTGTGTTTAATTTTTGGCATTTTAATTAAGATGTGTCTGGGCGTGGACCTATTTGGGCTCTTCTTGTTGGGGACTCTCTGTGCCTCCTGAACTTGTGTGACTTTTTCCTTCACCAGGTTAGGGAAGTTTTTTGCCATTATTTCTTCAAGCATGTTCTCTATCCCTTGCTCACTTTCTTCTCCTTCTAGTATTCTTATAATGCAGATTTTATTGCAGTTAATGTGGTCCCACAGCTCCCTTAGGCTGTCCTCCTGTTTTTTAATTGTTTTTTTCTCTTTGGTTTTGTAATTGAATGATTTTTTCTTAAATCCTCACCTGACGATATTTTTTCCATTGATATCTAGACAAAGTAATAGGGAGGAAGAGGAGGTAGAGAGAGAAACATCAATGTGAAAGAGACACATCCATTGGTTGCCTCCTGCATGCACTCTTATTGGGGCTGGAGAACCTGCAACTGAGGTATGTGCCCTGGACTGGAAATCAAACCTGCAACCCTTCAGTCTCCAGGGTGATGTTCTAACCACTGACCCAAACCAGCCTGGGATGAATGAGTGATTTTTTCTACCCTGTCTTCTAATTCGCTGATCCCATCCTTGACTTCCTCTACTTTGATCTTTACTCCTTCCAGTGTATTCTTTATCTCTGGTATGTCATTCTTCATTACTATTGATATGATTACTCTGAAGTCTATATCTGATAAACTACTTAGCTCCATTTCATTTAGCTCTTCTGGAGAATTCTCTTTCTTTCATTTAGAGATTTTTTTTTTTTGTCTCCCCATTTTTACTGCCTGTTTGGATTTATTTCATGTCTTAGGTAGATCTGCTATGACTTCCAGTCTTTTTGGAGGGTGTAGGCCAATGTCAGACGCTGTTTGTGACTGGATCTGAGTACTCTGCTTGGAGCTATTAGTGATCTGCAGCTTGTGACTCCCTCTGGTGGGGCTAGGTGCATTTGGAAAGGATCCAGATGTGCACCAAGGTCTGCTTTTCTTAGCCTGGAGTCCAGAAGTAGATAAGGCAAAAAGACTCAAAGTACCCAGAGATCCATGTCTGCCTGAAAGCTGATTGTTATTTTCAGTCACTCAATAAGCCTCAGGTTATAGACCACAGCAAGGTATAAACTCCACAGGATGGGGCCAGAGGTTTACCAGTGGGTGGGGCAATTGCTTCTCCTACTGCCAGGCAAAAGCTGCCTAGATGGTAAATGTCTGCCTGAGAAAGGTGTCCTCTGCAATATGGGGGAATGATTCAGCACAGGGATCCAGGCAGCTGCCCTCTGAACTCTACTTCTAGAGCCAATAACCTCAGATTACCCTCATACAGCTCTAGTCCATTCTACCTTCCCTCTGTTGGAGCCCAAGATGAGAGGCTGCACATGAGATTTTGTGCCTTGGCCCTTTAAAGATGATGCCTGCATTTCCAGCTGTCTCTCCCTGGCAGACAGCAACCCTGCTGCTTTTCATAGCCAGATGTTATGTGGGCACCTTCTCAGTTTTGGTTCTCTGGGCCTGGGAGTCCATCTTGTGGTTTAGACCCAAGAATTCTCAGGGGGACCCCTCCCCGCACAGCTGAGATATCCCTCCGGAACTTCTGCTGCTGCCCATGGGAGCCCAGCCATCCTTCTCATGCCTCTGCACTTCCTACCAGTCTCTATGAAGTCTCCACTTTATGTTTTCGGTTATAAGGGTTCTCTCCAGTTAGTCTTCAGTTGCTTATTCAGGATTTTTTCCCCCTATATTTTAGTTGTAATTCCAGTTTGGTCCTGGGAGAAAGTCAGTGTAGCTTTCACTTAGTCTGCTGCCATCTTGGAATCTCTGAACTAGTACTTATTATGGCCCAGGCATTGACCTATGGGTTATACATCTCTACATGTGTTAATTCATTTCATCCTGACAGGATCTCTAAGACAGAGGTACTACTATCATCATCCTTATTTTACATATGTGGAAAATCTAAGATTCAATAAGGATGAGTACCTCACATAGCTGGGAAGGGTCAGGCAGTCTGCCTTCTAGGTCCATGTTCTTAACAACTGCACTATGTTGTTTCTCATAGTAGGTGATCAGAAAATGCCTGTTGAATAAAAGTTTGTTTAAATAATTATCATTATTAAAGTATTGTTCCCTTCCATTTACCCAAATTCTGAAAGTGCAATACCCTGGAAAAAAGATGGACTTCTAACTTTGGACTTGGGCACTTTTCCTGCCTCTGTTGTTAACCAAATAGGTGGCCCTTCTGACTCTCCTGATTGAAGAAAAGTCATCTGTGGTCATCAGATGGGAACACAAACATTTACTGTAGAATCTGCATGAACTGAAAGATATCTCCGGTAAATTCTATGTGGATCCAAGACATTTCTATTACCCATGCATTAGTCATAAGACATGCTTTGGTGGATGGCATGTGAGCCTATGTGACACTTACCACAGTTGAGAAGGCTTCACTATAGTCCTCAGGCTCCTCTTCTGAAGGTTCAGGTGAACTTTTCTTTCTTGAGGCCCACTTGGACTCCAAACATCTCTCCTGTAAAAACCATGCTTGATAACCTCTTCAGGTTCTCAATCATCATCTCATTGGGCCCTCCCTACAGCTCTGTAAACAGGCTAAAGCTTGTATTACAACAAGGATAGCAAGCAGTGACCATGCAGGTGAACCAGGGACAGGATCAATAGCAGAACCCCATTGTCCTGCCCATAGCCCATGACTCTTCCCCCTGATTGGCTTGGTGGCTAGATTATACTTGCCTCTCAACCTTCTCCAACCCCTGAGGCTCCCTCCCTTCTCTTCCCTCTCCCTCACTAGTTCTTGCCTGCCTTTTTAAAAACTCCTGCCCCCTTTCTATCCCAGCTGTGTGAGTGAGGTCCCACCCCACTCCCAACAGGCTGGAGCCAGACAATGGGCCCTTATTCTGGGCAAAGAATCCCTGCAGTGTCTCCCACCCACTGAGGCTCCCTTCCAGGCCTGGGGTAGTGTGGGCAGACGGCACTGTGGAGGGCAGAAGCCATTGGCTGGCAGGACAGAGGATGGCCCTGACTGAAGAAATCCCACAGGAGGTTTACATTGTAAGCACCACTCACAATAAAAGCCTGTCTTTTACTCCCAGCCCCATCGCTCCAAGTGGGTATCTCTCAACCATCATTAGTTCTGGGTTTTTATTTTTCTTTAATTTATTTTATCTTTTAAAATATGTTTTTATTAATTTTTAGAGAGAGAGAGGAAGAGAAAGAGAGAGAGAGAAACATCAATGTGAGAGAGAAACATCAATCAGTTGCCTCCTGCATCTAACCACGTATTGAACCCACAACCTGGGTATGTGCCCAGACTGGGAATCAAACCCATGACCTTCTGGTGCACTGGCCAAACTCCCAAGGCTGGTCTTTATTCTTTTTAGGTGTTCATCTTTGCATATCACAGTCTCTTTCATTCTTTTTCTTTCTCTTTCTAAGCTTCTCTCTATTCCTTTGTGTAGCCTTCCTGTCCCTATTTCTTAAAAATAATTTTTTTTTGGTTAATTTAACCCTCACCTGAGGATTTTTTTTCCATTGCTTTTCAGAGAGAGTGGAAGAGAGAAAGGGAGGATAGGGAGGGAGGGAGGGAGGGAGGAAGGGAAGAAGAGAAACATCTATGTGAGAGAGACACATCCACTGGTTGCCTTCATCACGAGCGAATCTGCAACCCAGGTACGTGCCCTTGACCAGGAATCGAATCTACCACCCTTCAGTGAGCGGGCCGACGGTCTAACCACTGAGCGACACAGGCCAGCGCTGTTTCTATTATCTTTTATCTCATTTTACCATGTTCTCTTCCCTTTCTCTCTTTCCATGTCTTTTTTCTCTACAAGTTTCTGTATGTCTATCTCCACGGCTCTCCTCCTGCCTTTCTGTGTCTCGTGTGCATATGTCTCTCTCTCTTCATGTCTCATCTCTGATCTTCTGTCCTCCATCCCCTTGGATGTGGATCTGAAGGAGCTTCATCAGTCACCATGTTCTCCTGTTCACAAAACTTTCTCACTCCTCCTTTCTGATAAATCTCAGAGGCCTCTGGAACCGGCTTGGGGGTTATTCCCCAGTTTACAGACTTAGAAGCTGAAGCTCCGGCTGCTGGTACCAGGCTCCCGTCCCTGGGTTTCTTCCTCCACGCCCCCGCCATGCCCCTGATCACGCAGGACTTAGAACCTCGGATAGCTCCGGGAACGTGCGGGCATGTCCTGACTTCTTTCTCGCGAGAGCAGGGAGAAAGGCCTTAGAAGTGGAGCGGGAGTCTCGCGAGAGCTGCTGCGGTCAGGGGCGGCGCGCGCTCCCCGCTCCCAGGACCGAGCACCTTGCGGCGGGCTTGGCGCCGCATCGCCGGGTGCAGCGCAGCTCTGGGCAGCGCCGCGGCCTTTCGGCCTCCGAGCTACAGCAGCGGGTGAGTCCGCGCCTGAAGGCTCGGAGAAGGGCTTTGCAGGGAAGCTGGGCGCAGGGCGAGGGGCAGGGGTCACCCCTTCTCCACTTTGTACCCACTACGCTTCACCTTTGGATGCAGGAGGCTGGCCGAGATGCTGGAGAGGTGGAGAGTCGAGGTCACCTTTCCAGTTTGGAGCCCCGGATTCTCCCAGGCCTTCCAGCTCCCACCATCCCTATCACTAGCTCCCTAGAGGAAACCCGCATTCTTGGGTGACGTCAGACCTCTGGATTCTGGAGCCTGACTGGGCCTTGGGCCCTCCATTCCCCCCTGGAAACCGGTGTTCTCTTTCCTGGGGATGGTGCAAGCCATAGGGGATGGGGGCGACTGGAGGCGGGGTAACTGTGGCATCCTTTGCGTCCTTCCTCACTAGAGGCGCGCCTGCTGGTGGACCCAGGTTGTTACTCCCCCACCTCCACCCCACCACCGCCTCCCAGGGGCGACCGACCTTTGGACTGCTGGTCTGAGCCGCCTCAGGGTTTGCGGGGGAAGGGGGGGATGCAGTGGCTTGAGCCTGGGGTCCCCCAGAGCTGAGATGGTGTGTTGGGTGTGCCGCATGTAGCTAATTCCAACGCTGGCTGGAGTCGGTCACGAGGATAAGGGTGAGGTGTTTGGGAACCCGTCCCTTCCCCCTGCCTTCGGGAGCTTTTGATCTGGGAGTTAGGGGAACCAAATAGAGACTGAGAATTGCCCCAGCTCCCAGATGGGTAGTTTAGGGAGGGCCAGACAGACCTTCCGGTGGACACAAGGAGCACAAGGAGAAAGGGGAGCAAGAGCCAGCGAATAAGAGACTTCCTGGAGGAGGTGAAATTTGGATGGGAAGAGAGGGGATTCCTGGGGAATGGTAGGCAAAGGCATAGAGATGGGAATTAAGCACAGCTGTTGGGGAGCCTGCCTGTGAGCCCATGGGGTGGGGGAGTCTAAAGAATTTTGCAGCTACTGGTTCTACCTCTGAGGGGCAGGGCTTTGAAAGAGGGAGATGGTTCTTTCAGGGGCATTACTGGTGGGAATGATTTTTCTGGGGAGGCTACACAAGTCTTGCTAGTTGAGATTTGATCTGGGTTTGGTGAACCTGAAGTCAAAGTCCTCAAAGCTGAGAGAGGAGTCTCTTTGGTGAATGGGCCACGGAAAGAGGGTCTTCTTAGGTCTACAAGCTTATGGAGTCCTTTCCCTGGCTGGCTATTCCTCTCTCTGGGCATCTTTTTGCCAGCACCTTTCTTTAGGGATGAAATAATAGGATTAAGTACTGACCTCCCTTGAGGAGGCTGCTTGTTCTAATTTAGAGCATCCTTCCCAGTTAATCTCCCTTTTCCTTTTCTCCTCTCTCTACCTCCCTATCCCTGCTCCTCCTCACATTTCCTTTAGGGGCTGCACTTCCTTCCCTGCTGATATAGCCTGGAGTCTCTGAAGGTTTCCTGGAGGTGGGACAGCAGGGCTGACAGAAGCTGTGGGCTTAGCAGTTGGGGCAGGGCTTCAGTTGCTCCTCTCCCACCTTTTGGGAGGGTATCCAGGTCTTAAGCAGGAACACAGGTTGGCAGTGCTCTGTGTCCTGCCCTCTGTTGGGTCCCTTCTGGAAAGCCCATCCATGAGAGACCGAGGAAGAGATTGGATGAGAATGAGTGACCACTTGGTGGCTAATAACTGGTTCAGAATTTAGGCAGTAGGATGTATAGCAGGGATATTTGAAAGGTTTCCCAGGAGAGATAGGATGTGAGAAAACAGTAGGACTTAGAGGAGCTGGCAGGACTCTTATTTAGGGGCACTGCAAGCAGAGGGGTGGATAGACATGATCTCATGAATGAAACTGGGTTGTGTGGGAAGCAGGTCAGCCTGTAGTAGAGAAGCAAAGGGTGGTGGGATAGGTTTGTAGCTGATTGGCACAGGCCTTGAATGCTAGGCACAGGTTCAGCAGGTGCTACTAAAGAGTCATCATAGGATAGTGATAGCAATGCCAGGAGAGTGTTACTTTCTCAGCATGACTCATAGTTCTGGGACTTCATAGTTAGGGGTGGGATAAGGGGACCAGAGGTTGAGCAAGAAGGAAAAACTTCCATCTTGGGCTCTAGGCAGGCAGGAAGAAAATTACCATTTCTATACCAAGGATGAAGGGCTCATGCTGGGGAGGAGGGAGGGCTGGGCAACAGGCAGCCCTGGAACCAGCCCCAGGACTCTGGCCTAATCTGAGTCCAGGCTTGAGTCTCTTCTCTTTGCCATGGGCCTCACTCTCTCCACTGTGGGATCTTCTATTCTCCCAGCTTCACAGTAAGAAATGGAATAAATTATAATCTGGGTTTTTAAAACAAAATTCAGGTAGTATTTGCTATCTTATTTTTTTCTCAGGTTCTTTTGCTATATATACTAGAGGCCCAATGCACGAAATTCATGCAAGGGGCTCAGCCCTCGCAGCCCCGGCTTCGTCCGGAACGTTGTCCAGAAGGTCGTTGGGCTGTCCGGTCTAATTAGCATATTATGCTTTTATTATTATAGATAGCACCCTCACCCATCACCAAAAACATTTTGAGGAACAAAATTGCTACTTTTCCCATTTTGTAGTCAAGAAATTTGGTTTGCTGAGGCCACTCATTTCTTTCTCTGTCTGTCAGTCTCTCTCTCTCTTTCTCTCTCTCTCTCTCTCTCTCTCTCTCTCTCTCTCTCTCTCTCTCTCTCTTTCTCTCTCTCTCTCTCTCTCTTTTTCACACACACACATACACACACACACTGAAATAACAGAGGAGCCTGGAGCCTTCCATTCTTGTGACCATAGCCTCCTGCAGCCCTCCCAAGCCTAAGTTCTTTCTGGGCTAACCTTCATATACAAATGAAGCAGACTTGCCCTGTGCTCTGGCCATGAGCTCTGGCTTATCCCACTCTGTGTCATCCATACTCTGCTACACTGACATCTCTGTAACCATGGGCACACCTTTGGAAGATAGCCTGGGACGAGGGACATAGGTAAGGCTGGAGCCAGGATTAGAGTCTCCTCCTTTAAGCCCCCTAGAATCCAGTTACTACCCAGTTAGCTCCCTGTCTCTCTTCCTTGTTTTTCTTGGAGGACTTCAGTGCTGGACAAGTCTCCCACTCCACATCCCACTGTCTCATGGGAGGCAGTGCCTCCTCCTGCCACCCTTTCTACCAGGTACTCCTGAGTGTGGTCATTATTGGCATGTGACTACCTCTGAAATCTTAAATTCCAGTATACTCTGACCACAGTCCAACTTTTACTTTACCTACTTTGGGACCCTAAAGAGACCTCTCGTTCTCTGATACCTCCATTTTTTCTATATGATGAGCATCACACCTTCTATGTCTTATCTGGATCCCATAGTCCAGGATTTTAACCATTCTCTGGCCCATGCCCTCAACTAACCTGCCACTTTGCCTGTGTGTCCCAACCCAGCAGCAGAAGTCGCAATTCACATACCAGAGCAGTTTGGTTCTACTTCCATGCGGGGTCCCCAGCCTCAGCTGTCCCTCCACCATTTTTTTTTTTTTTTTTTTTTTTTTTTTAGAAATCCTTTCCCTCATCACTGGGGACTCTTGAGAGAAAGGAGGAAGGTAGAGAGAAGAATACTAATGAAAGATAAAGGTATTTCTTTAGTGACGTAAGTAAGGGTCGGGAGGCAAGATGGAGAACACTGACTTACCGAGTGTTTAGAGCAGCCGTGGGCAAACTATGGCCCGCGGGCCGGACCCCGGCCCGTTTGAAATGAATAAAACTAAAAAAAAAAAAAAAAAAAAGACCGTACCCTTTTATGTAATGATGTTTACTTTGAATTTATATTAGTTCACACAAACACTCCATCCATGCTTTTGTTCTGGCCCTCCGGTCCAGTTTAAGAACCCATTGTGGCCCTCGAGTCAAAAAGTTTGCCCACCCCTGGTTTAGAGTGTCAAGGGCCTGAAATTTAAGCCCTAATGTTGACCAATGGCATGGCCAAACATTAACAATTAAATAGCTACATACACCTTAGTCATAGCATAGAGAAACCTTGCCAAATACACAGAGTTGTTATTTAAATTTAGATAGTACTTCACTTTAGTTCAAATTATTTGTCAATTAGTTAACTCATGATTTGTCAAATTTTGAAGGAAGATCTGATTTCCAGACATCCTCAAAGGTCATGCTCCCTAACAATAGTGAACAGTTATTCTACTCTTACCACACGCATTATGCATACTGTTTGGCCTATGAAACTACATCATATTAACTAAATGAAAGACATAGCACCATTGGCTGAGGAGGACATAGTGGAATTAATTAGTAACAAATGAACATCAAAATGTAACAGGTAAATAATACATCAGATGAGAAATAATAAATGATGAAATGTTGGGTCAGCATGATTTTATGATTATTGCAAAAAAGTAAAAAAATTTGTGATTATTAAAAAAGAAAGAAAGAAAGAAAATCCTTTCCCTCTTCCCAACAACTCCTAGTTCCATTTCATGGGAGGAGTATTCCAAACTGGGCTACTCTCTCCAAACCCTTTATTTATGGAAAGGGTGATTGGGGGTTTGTGGGAGAAGTGGAACCACACCCATGTTTTTCCACTTCTTGAATCTCAGCAGAAGGAAGGATCCTAGTCTAATATGCCTATTCTGTGCTATGGAAGCTGGCCCTCTGTCTCCTGAGATACTAATGTCCCTAAGCTATTTTCCCTTCTAACTGTACCAGCTTGTAAATAAGCTCATCTCCTATCTGGAAAAAACTTTCTAACCCTATGTTCTCCACTAGTTGCTGCTGTTTTAAACCAGTGGCTTTGTCTTTTTGCAAAAATGATATATGACCATTGTAGAAATATTAGAAAAGAAAGATAAAAAATAAAGAAAACAAATAACATAATCTTTTTAAAAATATACTTTAGCCGAAACCAGTTTGGTTCAGTGGATGGAGTGTCGGCCTGCGGACTGAAGGGTCCCAGGTTCGATTCCGGTCAAGGGCATGTACCTGGGTTGCAGGCACATCCCCAGTGGGAGATGTGCAGGAGGCAGCTGATCGATGTTTCTCTCATCATCGATGTTTCTAACTCTCTGTCCCTCTCCCTTCCTCTCTGTAAAAAATCAATAAAATATATTTAAAAAATAAATAAAAAATAAACAATAAAAAAAATAATAAAATAAAAATGTACTTTAAGTGATTTCAGAGAGGAAGAGAGAGGAAGAGAGATAGAAGCATCAGTTATGAGAGAGAATCATCAATTGGCTGCCTCCTGCACGCTCCCTATTGGAGCTCAAGCCTGTGGCATGTACCTTGACCCAGAATCAAACCAGTGACCTCTTGGTGCATGGGTCAGTGCTCAACCACTGAGCATCACAGGCCGTGTTAAGGCTCTATATTTTTAAAAAGAAGAAGAAGAATAAAATTCTTCAGTGGCTGACAGGACTCTGAGAATAAAGCTCAAATCCTGCCCATGGCCTTCAAGGCCTGGATGACCCTGGCCCCTCCCACTTATCAACCCTATTTTTGCCTTTCTGTCCCTCCCACTTCTTGGCTCTACTTTTTTTGTTCCTTGAATATACTAGGCTGTTGGTCTCCTGATCTTCACACCTGTTTTCCTGATTCTCTTTTTCCCTAGCCATCTCTTACTCATCCTTCAGGATTCATCTGTATGAAGCCTTCCCTGGTTCCTCCAGGTCAAATCAGGGAGGTGCTCTGCTATGTTCCTACAGCTTTTTGTACTTGCTCTCCCAGAGCACTTCTCAGGCTGTGTTGTAATTGCTCATGAACTTAGCTGGATCCTCTACTCTGACTTCCTCCCTCTCAACTCCAACATGTCTCCAATATTACAGAAAAAATTGAAGCAGATACATGGGACTCTCACTCTCCTTTCCAAGGCCTTAAGCCTGCCTGCATCTTTTTGCATCATGCTTTCCTTCCTACCTTTTAGGATTGAGGCTTGTCTTACCTCCTTGCACTGGGTCCCATGCTTCTCCTCTTTAAAGGCTTAACTTCTGTCTATTGTAATTGCAACTTTTTCCCTGGATCCTTCACATCTCTAGCTTATTTATTTCCATCTTAAACAACCATCAGCCATATCTCTTCCTGGACCCTATGTCCCACCTAGCTAGTGCCTTATCTCTCTCTATTCTCTTCCTAGGCATAGGCACCCTTTTTCAAAGAGCTGTCTACACCTGCTTACCTGTTCGACTATAGATCTAATTTGGCTGCCATTCTGATCCCCAACCTTCCAAAACAATTCTTTTTGGGATCACAGATGACTTGTTGTTACTGAGTATAATGAACATTTTCAGCCCAGTCCTTTTCCTGCTGTCGTATTTGTTCACTGTCTACTGACTTTGGAGACTCCACTCTCTTCTGCCTCATCAGTTGCTTCCTCTCATTCTTTGCCAGCTTATCCTCTTTTGCCTGACTTTTTTCCATTTGTTTTTTCAAACAGGTAATAAATACATTCACATGATTCATAATTTGAAAAGATGTCCCAACTTTCATCAGTACTAAAATGAACATTTTGATATTTCAGAAAACATTTTAATGTCTGTGTCTTAAAATTTTGGGCATCTTAAAATTACAATTTGGCAGTATTATTTTGTGTGTGTAAATAAAATTAACACTCTCTCTTAAAATCCATGGTGTCTTGGGGTAGATAGTCTAAAGATACATAGTAACAATTCTTTTTCCCCACTTGCTCCACATGTATTCAGTTTCTCTGTCCCCCAGGGAGCCACATTTTTCCCCCTTGATATCCTAGAGATTCTTTGAGTATCTATTATCAAATACATAAGGGTGGGGCAAAAGTAGGTTTACAGTTATTCATATGGAAAATAACACAATGATTAATAAATAATAGTGCAAGAATAAACTCAGTGTTTCTCATACACACAACTCTAAACCTACTTTTGCCCCACCTGTGTGTGTGTGTGTGTATATATTTTCCTCTCAATATTTTATTTTGAAAAATTTCAAAGCTACAAAAAGGTTTAAAGAACAGTGCAATGAACACCTGTACTAAGGTATGTCACCTAGATTCATCAATTATTAATATTTTTCACATTTGCTTTACCTATTTATCTTTTTTTTTTTTTGCAGAACCATTTGAAAGTAAGTTGCAGACAAGACACTGTACCTGTAAATACTTCAGCATGTATCTCCTAAGAACAAAGATATTCTCCTAGGTAACCACAACACCTAAGAAATTTAACACTGAATAACAGTATCTACTATGCAGTCTATTTTCAGTTTTCTCTACTTGTCCTAAACATGTCCTTTAGAGCTGTGATTTAAAATTCTAGGATTCACTAAAGGATCATTCATTGCATTTGGCTGTGTGTCTCTTAAGTCTTCTTTTAATTTAGATGAGTCCCCCTACCAATTTTTTGTCTTTCATGACATTAACATTTGTCTTGGAGAATTTTCCACAATCTGGATTTTTCAGGGTATTTTTTCATACTATTTTCAAAGTAAACATTTTGGCAACAACATTACATAGATGATTTTGTGTCTTTCTGTGTGTCAGGAGATGCATGATGTCCTTTGGTCCCATTACCAGAAATGCTAAATTTGGTCACTTGGTCTGCCAGATCTTCTCATTATTGAACTACGTTTTCTCTGTTGTGATTTATAACTAATCTAGGGTGTGGTACTCAAACTGTGTGATTCTCTTATTAACAGCCATTGATCATCCTTGCTTGTATCAGTTCTTATACAAGGGCTACAAATGGTGATTTTTTAAAAAATTCTGTGATTCTTTCTATTATTAGAACTTTTCCTTTCCTCTCTCTCTTTCTTTTGTATGTCACCCTAGACTTGTACATTATTTTCATTCAATGTGTTATAACCCACCCATGACTGACATTCATATTTTTCAACTTGCATGCTAAAGTTGAAGAAATATTGAAAGGAACACTTTAAAAAATATTTTTATTGATTACAGAGAGAGGAAGGGAGAGGTAGAGAGAGATAGAAACATCAATGATGAAAGAGAATCATTGATAATCTGCCTCCTGTGCACCCCCTACCCAAAACCCAGGCATGTGCCCTGACCAGGAATTAAACTGTCAGCTCCTGGTTCATAGGTCGATGCTTAGCCACTGACCCACACCAGTCAGACCAAATACATATAACTTTATTTATTTATTTTTCTTAAATAATGAGCAGGTATGTATGTATGTATTTATTTATTTTTGTTCATCCTCACCCGGGGATATTTTTCCATTGATCTTTTAGAGAGAGTTGAAGAGAAAGGGAAAGACAGAGAGAAACATTGATGTGAGAGAAACACATTGATTGGTTGCCTCCTGCATGCGCCTGACCAGGACCCAGGCCGGGTAGGACCCTGCAACCAAGGTGCGTGCCCAGAATCAAACCTGAGACCCTTTGGTCTACAGACCAACGCTCTATCCACTGAACCAAACCAGGTAGGGCCAAATACCTATTTTAAATGAGACTTCTGACTTTTTGTTTAATTGACCAACTTTTAGTCTCAATTACATTAGATAAAAGAGGACTCCTACTGAAATAATAATATTAAATGTGAATTGCTTTATTGTGCAGTTACCGTATACCCAGGTGAGAGGCCACAGAAGGGGCACTTTTTTTTTTTTAAATATATTTTTTATTGATTAAGATATTACATATGTGTCCTTGTCCCCACGTTACCCTCTCCCTCCCCCCCCCCCCCCCCCCCCGCTCATGCCCTCACCCCCCCCCCCCCCCCCCCGTTGTCCGTGTCCATTGGTTAGGCCTATATGCTTGCATATAAGTCCTCTGGTTGATCTTTCCCCCTTACCCTACCCTCCCCTACCTTCCCTCCAAGGCCCGACAGTCCAATCAATGCCTCTCCGTCTCTGGATCAGTCCTTGTTCATCAGTTTATGTTGTTCATTATATTCCACAAATGAGTGAGATCCTGTGGTATTTATCCGCTCTCCAGTTCCATCCATGCTGTGGCAAATGGTAAGAGTTCCTTTTTCTTCTTCCTCTTCTTAAAGAATACCTTTCAGCATTTCATATAATGCTGGTTTGGTGGTGATGAACTCCTTTAGCCTTTTCTTATCCGTGAAGCTCTTTATCTGACCTTCTATTCTGAATGATAGCTTTGCTGGATAAAGTAATCTTGGTTGCAGGTTCTTGCTATTCATCACTTTGAATATTTCTTGCCACTCTCTTCTGGCCTGCATGGTTTCTGTTGAGAAATCAGCTGACAGTCGTATGGGTATTCCCTTGTAGGTAACTGACTGTCTTTCTCTTGCTGCTTTTAAGATTCTCTCTTTATCTTTTGCTCTTGGCATTTTAATTATGATGTGTCTTGGTGTGGTCCTCTTTGGATTCCTTTTGTTTGGGGTTCTCTGCGCTTTCTGGACTTGTAAGTCCATTTCTTTCACCAGGTGGGGGAAGTTTTCTGTCATCATTTCTTCAAAAAGGTTTTCAATATCTTGCCCTCTCTCTCCTTCTGGTACCCCTATAATTCTGATGTTGGTACGCTTGAAGCTGTCCCAGAGGCTCCTTACACTATCTTCGTATTTTCGGATTCTTTTTTCATTTTGCTTTTCCGGTTGGGTGTTTTTTGCTTCTTCGCATTTCAAATCTTTGCCTTGATTCTTGCGCTCCTCTGGTCTGCTGTTGGGAGTCTGTATAGTATTCGTTATTTCAGTCCGTGTATGCTTAATTTCTAGTTGGTTCTTTATCATAACATCGAGGGTCTCATGAGATTTCTTGAGGATCTCACTACATTTATCGACGGCTTCTAGACAGTTCTTAAGAGACCTTAAAAGTGTGGTTCTGAATTCAATATCCTCCATTGACAGTTTTTTCCTGTTTCTTTGTCTCCGCATTTTTTATGCTTTCTTGGTGCACCCCCTAGTGGTCTTTGTGCCCAGTCTTGTTGTAGTTAAGCCTTGATTGTTGTTGGCAATACCAGTGGTGATTTGACCTCCAGGCTAACTGGCTATGAGAGTCCGCTGTGTCTGCAGTGGGAGGGCTTCTGTGCTGGATTTCTAGGGCGGTGCTAATCTAGCGTTTGCCTGAGGCTATCTGGCAAATGGCTCTGCGCAGGGCTTGGGCGGGGCGGGTCCCTGGGGATCTACAGGGTGGGCCGGAGTGAGCAGTTATGGCTGCTCTCAGTTCCGTCCCTAGGGGCTCTGCCTCACAGAGTCCCAGCAACCGCTGCAAACCTCGGAGAGAAAGCTGCCCTCGCGTTCCGACTGAAGCCAGACAGTCCGCTTCTTCCGTTTGAGTCTGGGTCCCTAGAGACTCGCCTGGATCTGGAGCTCAGAGTCTGAAACTCCCTCCTGATTGAAAACAACAACTGCGCCCTCCACCGCCAGCCCGCTCTGCGCGCACTCCGCACCTCAGTATTTCACTTCAGCACTGCGCCTCCTCTGAGTCTGGGTATGATATTCTCTTTCCTTCTAGTTGTAGAATTTCCACTCAGCCAGCCTTCCTGTGGTTCTGGATGATGTCCGTTCCGTCGTTTAGTTGTTTTTTGAAGTGGTTGTTCGAGGCAGCAATCTCCGGCGTTAACCTATGCTGCCATCTTGGTTTCTCCGTCGGGTTTTTCTTTTTTAAAAGCAAACTTTTAGCCCTAGCTGGTTTGGCTCAGTGGATAGAGCATCGGCCTGTGGACCAAAGAGTCCCAGGTTCGATTCTGGTCAAGGGCATGTACCTTGGTTGCAGGCTCTTCCCCGGCCTGAGCCCTGGTCAGGGATCGGGCTCGTGCAGGAGGCAACCAATCCATGTGCTTCTCTCACATCGATGTTTCTCTGTCTTTCCCTCTCCTTCCACTCTTCCTAAAAATCAATGGAAAAATATCCTCTGGCGAGAATTAACAAAAACACCCACAAACAAACAAAAAAAAATAAAAGCAAACTTTTAATTGAAATATAACAAATAGGAAAGTACACAAATCATAATTGTAAACTTGATGAATTTTCAGAAAACCAACACCTCTGTGTAACCAGCACTAACACCATAGATTTTTTTTTGTCTGTTTTTAAACTTTATAGAAATCTCTATCCAGCTTTAAAAAAAAAAAAAAAAAAAAAAAATATATATATATATATATATATATATATATATATATATATTTATTAATTTCAGAGAGGGAAGGAGAGGAAGAGAGAGAGAGAGAAACATCAGTGATGAGAGAGAATCATTGATAGACTGCCTTCAGCACTCCCCACACCAGGGATTGAGCTTGCAACTTGGGCATGTGCCCTGACTGGGAATTGAACCCTGATCTCCTGATTCATAGGTCGACGCTCAATCACTGAGCAACACTGGTCAGGCTCTATCCAACTTTTAAATGTTGCATTGCTTTAGCACTTGGTCATAGACCATTTTCTGAGTTTGGCTGTGCATTGTAGCTCCACCAATTACTGTTTTAGTGAGTGGATTGCTCATTCACTTCCTTAGCCTCAACTCACTTAATGTATGTCTCAGTCAGGCCCCCCTGCTGAAACTTCCAACTGGAATATCCCCATTGCCTACAAAGCAGCCTGTCTGGAGGTCTCACAACACCTAGGACTTGGCAAGTCAGTGGCAGCTATTTGTCTTCCCGAGGATCCTGCATCTTTTCTCATGGATTGCCTCCTATGATGGGGCTTTCTGTTAACATGCCCCCTTCCCCCAGTGTGGAAGCTGGCAGAAAATCTTCTTTTTGTTTTTTGTTAATCCTCCCTCGAGGATATTTTCCCATTGATATTTAGAGAGAGTGGAAGGAAAGGGAGAGGCAGAGAGAAACATTGATGTGAGAGAGACACATTGATTGGTTGCCTCCCACACACACCCAGACCAGGGCCAGGGATCGAGCCTGAACCAAGGTATGTATCCTTGACCAAAATCAGACCTGGGACCCTTCGGTTCTCAGGCCAAGGCTCTATCCACTGAGCCTAACTGGCTAGTGCTGGCAGGAAATCTTGATGGCCTCTCTCTCCCCAATTCCCAAGTCCATCTCAGGGCCCCTTTGTACTTGCTCCTAAGGGCCTCAAGTATCACTCCCTGCCTACCTCATCTCTCCAGCCTTACACTCCTGCTGTTTCCTCATTTGCACTCTACCTTGGCCACAGTGGCCTTCTTTCCCTTGTTTAAAAGCGAGAGATCCTGCATCAGGATCTCTGTGAGCTTTCCTCTCTGCCCAGAAGGCTGCCCTTCCCTGAGCAGCTCCTCTGTGGTCTTCAGGTCACCTCTTACTGATTATATTTAATTTCCGACTCTCCAGACCAGGTTAGATCACCTTGATATATGCTGTGTATGTTTTCATAGCAGCCATCCTTCCCTTTTATATTGTTTACTGCAGAGGTTATTGACTGTTTCATTCAAGGGCAGGGACTACATCTTTCTTATTCATGCTTTTTCCCCAGTGCCTGACAGATTATAAATCCCCAATAAGTGAACAAATAACCAAAGGCAAAGGCAGGAGGAAGAGGAGCCCAGCCTATGACTGAGGCCAGGGCTCTGCTGTATTCAGCGTCAAGGGATAGAATTTCCTCTTTCAGAAGTCTCTAGTACCCCCAGCCCTTTCTGTCACTTGCCTTTCCCTGCCTGGTCCCATTCTAGGTTTCTTTCCTATCCTTGAATGGGGTTTTCTGTGGTTAGACTTTGTGCCATGTGGAAGGAGGTAGCTGGTGGGATGATTGCTCTGTGAGGTGGGAGATGCCTCCATTGGGTTCATCCCACTGTGAGAGTGTGACCAGGGCCTGGCCCCAGGGAGCATCCCGGCTGGGGCTGAGAAAAGGATCTCGTTAGGATGGACCATGATCCTCATCCTTCTCTGGCTTTTCTTTCCTTCCAGTTCAGAACAAAGAGGCTGGGCCAGCTGGTGCCATCATGGCAGGTAAGGAGAGGACAGACCATGTGGGTAAGACATTCAAGTAAGCATAGGGTGGTTGGACCTCTTCCTAGTCCCCTTATCTTCCCTAGTATTTGGAGGTCAGGTTCTTTCTGTCCTTTCGTCCCGAGGTTTTCCCTGGTTCCCCACTTGGGCCTGTCTATCGGTGACCCTGAAAATGACACTGTCTAGCCCTCTATCAGATCTCTGACCCTGGGGAAAAGGGATCAAGCATCCTGATGTCCTGGTCCTATTGGCCATTGGACTGATGAGCAGCATGGGTGGCAAAGTCCCTGTCCCCTCTGTCACCATTGCTCTCTAATACTCTGAGACCTGGTCCTTCTGGTTTCTGAGTTGTCTGATTTCCCAAGGTTCAGGTACAGAATGACAGAGCTGCAGGGAATGTTAGGGACTATTTAGCTCAACCCTCATCCCACTGGATAAACTGAGATCTAGAGAGGGGTAGTGACTTGCTCAAGAGCAGAATATTGGAGTTGAGGCTAGAACCCCCATTTCCAGACTAACCCTTCCTACTTCTGCCTGAAACTGGCTCCCTGCTGAGGAGAATGCTGAACCCCTGATGGACAGCATTTACTGTTTTTCTTCTGAGAGGCAGTGACACTACCTTGGGGCCTTTGGTTACTTTGGGAACCACACATCCTGGAGGAAGCATGGTTTGTTGGGTAAGGATAGCAAAGTGGCCTATGGTTACAGGCCTTCAGGGCAGCCTAGGCCAGGGAAAACATGATAATATTGGATTGTCGGGGAGGAGAACATTCAAGGTGATGACATGTGATGTGCTTTACCCACAGAAAGAGTGAACAACTTCCCACCACTGCCCAAATTCATCCCACTGAAGCCATGTTTCTACCAAGACTTTGAGGCAGACATCCCTCCCCAGCACCTCAGCATGACCAAGCGACTCTACTACCTCTGGATGTGTGAGTGCTATGGATGGGGGATCCAGGTGGGGCACTAGGGTGGGGTACCCACAGGCTGGCTATCTTTTTAGCTCCACTTGCAGCATCTGCATGGGCCAGTAATTCTCCACCCTCCCTCACTCCCAAAAGGCTCCTTTCATGGGCCCACTCCCCAGTTGGGCCTCAGTTTTCCTCAACCCCAAGATCTAGGCCTCTCCTCCCACCAACCCCCATCTCCCATTCACAGACCATTTGGATAAGGGTCTTTGTCTCTTGCTCTCCGTTTCCTTTCCCACTGGAGTAGTTTTCTAGGGAACCTCAGGATTCTGGATTTGGAGAGGGTTCTTCCCTTAAGACTCATTTTTCTTGCTTTCTTTGAGATCAAGCTAGGCTGGTTGCTCCACTTTCCAAGAAGCAGGTTTCTCATTTGTAGAAGAGAGTGTTGTTTCAGTGACTGCTGTGGCTCCACGTAGAGCTCTGTATGGACTCTTAGAACTTCTGATGTTCTAAGATTTTGAGGTCAAGTATGTAAAGGCCCTAGTTTCTGATGATCTGTGGCAGGTTGGTGGGAAAGGTATCATCTTAGGGGGATTAGACTTGGATGTGTCCAGGCTGGGTCATAGGTACCCTTTCAGCATGTGCAAGGAGAGGAATCTGGCTGTCCTATGCTGGGTACCAGTCCCAGGGAACACCAGACATCACAGGGTGACCTTAACCTGGGTCTGCCACATGTGATGTTGCCTTGAGTCAGTCCTGCACTTAGCTACTTACCTGTGGGGAGATGATTAATTGTGCCAGGAAGGTGAGAAAGAATACTGTCTTTGCAACAGGTCCTTCATGGAATGGTAGAAAGAATATGGGGACAGACAAACTCAGTTTCAAGTCCTGGCTTGACCTTTGGGGCCATCCCCCGCCCCCCCCCCCTCCTATATAACATGAGAGAAAGAAGGGATGGGGCAGGTGTGGGTAGTTCTGTAGATGTTTTGAAGAGAATTTTTCCATTAAAATAGGATGTAGAAGTGGGGTTAGGAGATTTGAGGAGACTGGGATTAGAATGACAGCATGTTTGTGAACACAGGGTAGATACACTATTCAAAATTTATGGACCATGCATGGGTCCATTTGAGATTTACTACCATGAATTTATAGTCCTATCAGGCTTTTGGGATGGGGTCTCCTTTTTTTCCTAGTAACAGTCACATCAGGTCCAGATGGGAGTTGTGCTCATCCGGGGTGAGTGTGATCAGATGACAAGGCAGGGGAGGGAATAAGAAAATGAGAAGTATGGCATCTAAGCTAGATAAAGAGAGGAATGGAGATAGAGAAAAGTTTTTGGCTAGAGAGAAAGTGGCCAAGTCAATGGATGTGAATTCTGAAGAACTGGTAGAATAATTGCAGGAGAGGCAACTAGATCAACTGAGCTAGAGAGAGATGGGGCTGGGAAGAGAGTTGTAAACCAATATTAAAACAGGTTAATGTCTAGTTTATGTAAAGAGCAAATAAAATCAGTAAGAACACCAAGGTTCCAGGAAATTTGGGGGCAGTAACAGGAAAGGAGGAAAGAGAATGCATAGGAAGAAATGTTCATCCCTATTATGAGGGACCCGAGATGGGTGTACCTGCAGAGTGACGGTGTTGTCAGAGCAGACGGGGAGCATTTCACCTGACCCTGGGCTCTGAAAATTCTGCCCCTGAGAAGATCTCATTCAGGAGCTGGATTTAAGGGCTATAAATATCTTCCTAAGTCCTCTCTAGGTGCCTGCCAGGTGCTTTGCTCCTAAAGAAATGTATATAATGCTTAAGGGCTCTATTCAGAAGCCAGTACAGTATATGCCTGGGTGTTTGAAGCTCCATTTGAGCCCCTCTTCCTTTGTTTATTCAGCAGGTCTTTGTGGAGCCTTAAAGGGATCCAGCCTAATGTTCCAGGAAGGGATTACCTTGTGTCAGAAGACTTGGGTGTGTGTTAGTGCCAGCATCAGATGAGGAAGGAGTCTTTGAGGTCCCGACTGGCTGTGACTCATTGATACTGTGATTCTGAGGTTCAGCTAAATTATGTGGGCATGGAGGAGGGGGAGCCTGGGTATTGTTCTTGGGGAGCTTCTAGTCTGGTTGATGGGCTGGGATTTGTACTTGAGGGAACCATAAGAGCAACCCAGGTCTGTGAGAGATCAGAGGGATGGGAGATGAGTAAGGCTGCAGTAGTGAAGGAAGGCTTCTTGGAGTGGGTAGCATGATAGTTGTCTAAAAAATGGATTAGATAAAGACTGAGATTCCAGCCACTATTGCCTGCCCCATTTAAGTACAGGGCAGATTATACAGTGGCTTGAATAGATGTTTCCACAAGGCCTTTTACTTTCCCCTTTTTGTGCCCCTACCTTGCAAGAGAAGATGTAAGATGGGTTTCCCATGCCTTGGCCTTGGTGATTGCTGTGGATCTGGCAGGGTCAGGGGCTGAGGTCATTCATAAAAGGAAAAGAGCATTTCTACTACCCTGGGGCTTTGGAGCCCTTCAATGGGACTTGCTGGGCTGAGGCTCTGGATTCCTGCTCTGGAGACTCTGTTCTCTGGGTGTGGGGAGGGGTGGTCTGAGCTCCCAGACTTCTTTCTTACAATCTGTACTTGTGTGTGTGTGTGTGTGTGTGTGTGTGTGTGTGTTCACTGATATGGGTTATGGGTGTGAATATGTGTAAATGTGGTATGCATGTGTATTTGTCTGTCCGTATCTCTCTGCTTGCTCTGTTTGCATGGGTTTGATTGTTATGTCTTGAGTTATGGGTGTATGTATCTGTGTGTGGGTGCTCATGTATCTCTGCATGGGCCTGGTGTTTGTGTTCATGTCTGGTGTATGTCTCTGTGTGTGCATGTGCTCCTGGGTCTGCAGTGAACAGCGTCACGCTGGCGGTGAACCTGGTGGGCTGTCTCGCGTGGCTGATTGGAGGTGGGGGAGCCACCAACTTTGGCCTCGCCTTTCTCTGGCTCATCCTCTTCACACCCTGCTCCTACGTCTGCTGGTTTCGGCCCATTTACAAGGCCTTCAAGTAAGTGGTTGGTGCTGACCCCGGCTCCTAACCCTGCCTCTTTGCTCACCTTCCCCATCTCTTCTCTACATATTATCTCACTTTTTTTTTTTTTTTGCCATCTCCCAAACTTACTTTCCCTATTCACCCTCAGCTCAGACTGCCAGGTAAGATTTGGGCTTCCTGGGAGCTCAAGGCTGGGATGAGAGGGCTGGGAGTCAGAGCCTTTCTTTTAGTTCCTTTCTTCATCACTCTGCCCTTAGGTGTGGGCAACATAGAGTAGAGACCACGCCTATTTTAGTTTTGCTTTCCCCAGGCAGCTGCATGTTAAATGTTGCCAGTGGGGCCACCTGTCTTGGTGGAGATGCTCATCCTGTACCCATAGGGCTAGCTGATTTAGTGCCAAGTGAACCATCTATCCATGCACCAGTGGGACTTGCCATCCATATTCTAGTGATACTATTTATGTGCTAATGAGGTCATCCAACTCTGTACCAGAGAGATCACCCATCCATGTATCAGCTGGGCTAGCTCTCTTGGTGCCAATGGGTGTCTACTTTGTGTCAAATAGAATTTTCAATCTTTGTACCAATTGGACTATTCATCCATGTACCAACAAGGCTACCTGTCTTGGTGCCACTGTAGTATCCCCGGTGCCTCAAATGTCTTTGCCAACCAGACCATCTAACTATGTGCCAATTAAATTACTGTCTTGGTGCCAATAGGGTGTCCATTTTAGTGCCAGTGGGACTTTCTGTCTCTAAGCATATAGGATCATCCATCCATGTACCAGTGGAACTAGCAGTATTGGTGCCAATGGAATTGTCCATCCTCTTGACAATGGGGTCATTTATTCCTGCCACAATGGGCCCATCTATTTTTGTGCCAGTTGGGCCAACAACCAATGTACCAGTGGGTGGTCCATTCATGAAGAGATGTCTCCCTATGTAATGCTGCACACACAGACCTAACATGGAATCCTGCAAAGATCCATAGTTAAACACTGTCCCATTTTGGCCTCTCATTTAAGGCTTTTGACTATCTTCTGTCCATTGTGTACTCACTTAAACTTGGAAGGGCTTGGGGACCTTGAAGGCAGGGAATCCCTAGCCCTCTGCCCAGCTGATAAGAGCCATCTCCTTTGTTGCAGGACTGACAGCTCCTTTAGTTTCATGGCATTCTTCTTCACCTTCATGGCCCAGCTGGTCATCAGCATCATCCAGGCTGTGGGCATCCCAGGCTGGGGCATCTGGTAAGAGACTGAGGTATCTGGGACTGACCCATGGCTAGCATAGGTGGCACCTTGTTAATGTCTTTTGCTTACCTCCATATGCTAAGCTGTCTGACCTGGGAGGACACTATGAATTATAGAAAGTATGATAGGATTCAAGCTACTGGAGTAGACACAGCCATAGCATTTGAGGAGAAGAAGACCTTACAGTGGTTTCTGGGGGCTGAGTGTCAAAAATCATGGGAGAACCCAAGGAAAAGAAGCATTATGTCTGAGGAGTTCATCTCCTGAGCCATGGGTAGGACTCTTCCTGAACCACTGACATAGGCCCTTTGGGTATAAGTAAGATGGTCCCTTTGCACCCAATAATATGGTCTCTCCATGTGACAATGAGATGGTCCCTTGCTCCAGTATATAGTGGGGTGGTTCCTGGATAACCCTCACCGTGCTGGGTAGCCTCACAGTTGGCCTCTTCCTACAGCGGCTGGATTGCCACCATCTCCTTCTTTGGAACAAACGTTGGCTCAGCGGTGGTGATGCTCATTCCCACCATCATGTTCACAGTTGTGGCTGTCTTTTCCTTCATTGCCCTCAGCATGGTACGTGGTTACCTCAAGGGTCATAGGGGGTGGCTTTGGAAAGGGGCTAGGACCCAGAAGTTTCCCCAGGGACTAACTGTGGAATGGCTTGGTGGACTTTGCTCCTGATGCACAGAGTACAGGTGGGAGGGGGGACTAGCTTTGATTAACTCTTCCTTGTGCTCCTCCTCCTCCAGGTTCATAAATTCTACCGGGGCAGTGGGGGAAGTTTCAGCAAAGCTCAGGAGGAGTGGACCACGGGGGCATGGAAGAACCCACACGTGCAGCAAGCAGCCCAGAATGCAGCCATGGGGGCAGCCCAGGGTGCCATGAATCAGCCGCAGACTCAATATTCTGCCACCCCCAACTACACATACTCTAATGAGATGTGAGCCAGCCAAGCCTACTGGGAGGCAGGGCTGGGGGATGATGGAATGGGGCTCAAGTCACATAATCTGTTGTGGTGACCAAGCAGGGTTCTCCCTTTCCTTTTCTCCTCTTTGTACAAAGAAAAAGAAAGAAAGAAAGAAAATATATATATCCCCTGCCCCTTTGGATTTTGCTCTGAGCATTCTGAGAGCTATAGGCTGCACATGGAACTGCCCCATGTTGCGGTAGTAGTTGTGTCCATGTCCCATGTAAAGTAGTGTGCAGTGGAGGTCTCTGTTGTGGTGCTAGATGTATATTTAGAACTAAATCAGCCGCCCACCCTCCATCTGGCTACTCCCTCTGACCTTGGCCCAAGGACCCCTCATGGGACAGGAGGCATAGCTGAGAGAGCCTGGCCCCCTCCCCAGGATTATGGGTTGAAACTGTTTCCACTTTTGGTCTTATTGGGAAGTGACACTGTTTAGCACTCTTGGTAGTGGTGGTAGTGGGTGGGAGGGTGGGACAGGCCGGGGATCTTTCCTTGCTCCTAATTTGAGTACCCTTCCCCTCCTTTCTTTCTGCTGTCACATTCCCTGTGGTCTATTCTCTTGCCCAGGATTTTTCTCTTCCCCATGTGGTTTTTCTTTGTCTTCCCCAATGCTGAATGTCGCAGTAGTATCTGCTCCTGAGACTGAGCCCATTCCCAGATCAAAGAAGCAGATAGGAATGCTGAGCCTTAGCCCTGATGTGGGAGGGCACACTGATGCAGAGCCTTTTGGGCACCTGTCTCGCAGGGAATGGCATTGCAGGGTCATCCTCCTGACTCTCAGAGCTAAGCCTGTAGAGGCAGGCTCCTCTTTTTCCTATCCTGCTTCCCCTGCTTCTCTTCCAAGAGACCCCTCGAGCCCCTCTGCCTAGGTCTCTCCCCAAACCCCAAGCTGCTGTGGCCTGATGCTGCCACCCTACCCTGCCTTCCCTGAAGAATTGGGTGGTGTTCAGGCAAAGGTACAGCTGAAGTAGAGGACATGTAAATAATTATTGTTTCCTGGGTGAGGTCTGGCTGGTTCAAGCCTGCAGGGAGGTACTAGGTGTCTCTCTGAGTGACTGACCATTGGATTCCTGGCAGCAGTAGCTGTTCTGTGTGCTTCTGGTAGAAGGGATAGGCTCAGAGGGCTGGGCCTGAAGGGAAGATCAGAGAAGAGGGCAGGCATGGCCCATTGAGAGTGCTGCATGACTCCCCCTTGCCAACTTGCTCTTGGTCACAGGGCAGTTCTGGGCACTTGAACTTAGGGCCCAGGAAGAAGCAAAGGGCCAATCTTTTCAGCAGGCTCAATGGCTGGAATGGGATTTCAGGTTAGTATTAGTGGGAAGGGAGCCTCTCTGGCTTTTGCTTGTTTTTTCACATCAAGATAACTTGCTATCTTCTGCCTACTAGCCTTGGTTCTTGGCCCTTCCTCACCCTGCCAGAACCCCTTTCTCTTCCAGGACAGTGATTTCAGGGTTATAGGGCTGTTCTGCTCCAAGCATTATGAGAATGTTGCTGGTAAAGACCCTGGCTCTCTGAGGCCTGGAGGGGAGTGGATTCTCACTCAAGGAGTAGCTGCTCATTTCCTACTCTCCCTTCTCCTACCTGGGTATTTGGCCTGAAGAACCAAACCCTGCTTGGCCATTGTGGACTGGCTCCAGCTTGGAACCCAGCACCTGGGCTTCCAGTTATGATCCGGAGCTTTGAGCTCCAAGCACTAAATTTTCCTATAAGGGAGCCAGGGCCTCTGGGAAGTTCTCATTCTAATGGTCCCTTAGGCTTGGGCCAGAGTGTGATTGGCTCTCTCCTCTACCACTTTCTCTCCAAAAAGCATTTGTTACAGCCCATAGTACACTAGGTCTAGGTTCTTCCTTCCCTGTCTTCTCCCCAAGCCCAGACCTCTGGCTCCCTTTCTCTTAGTCTCTGTGGTAGCTTCAGAAAGGCCTGTGGTCTAGCTGCAAACCCAGGATCCAGGACCTGCTGGTTGCCACCTCCAGTCAATTTCCTTCTCTTCCTGCCTTTCCTTTGTCCTGGCCCAAGACCTATGTGACCATGCCTGACTGTCCTTGGAAGGCCTGCTACTTGTGTGTGGCTGAGCTTGTCCAGGCCCTTGGATGCTGCATCTCCAGGCAGCTAAGCACTTTTCTGGTGAAAGATCTAGTATGAGAAATGGGGCTGGGCACAGATTCATCTCTGCAGGATGGTCTGGGGGGTGGGGTGGAAGAAGCCCATGTCAGTTTTTTGAATCCTCAGGTTTGCAGCCAGTGACCTGTTTTTGTATTCTTATTTCTGGGAGACATAGACCATTCTCCATCTGGCAGTTGACCTGCTTGAGCCAGTGTGTCTGTGGTAACTGAGTGAACCATAATAAATGGGAACATTTGGCCCTGTGTATCCTGCTGTGTCATGTGTCTTCATCTGGGCCTGTGTGGAGCCTCACCTGTGGGCTATGGGGTGTGGAGGTAGGGTGGTTTGCAGGAGGAAGTAGAAGGCTGGATTAGTGGGGGAGGGGTAGTTTGGTCCAGATAATCCCTGCAGGCAAGGGCAGAGGAAGAGCACAGAGGGCCCCACTCAACTCATGATGGAAACTGGCAGCTGACTGAACAGCGTCCGGGGCAAAGTTGCCTCCACCTGCTTGCTCCAGATACCTTCCTGTTGCCATGCCGCGAACACCATATGGACTGCTGTTTGGTAGTCTACGCACCTGCTCATCCTTCAGGATTCATCCCGAGTGACTCCTCTGAGATGGTTTACCTGCCTCTGTGTTTACACCCCTCTGCTTCTTCGTGGGCGACCTTATTCTGTAATTTTCTGTGTTTCTGCTTGTCTCAAGAGCAGGGATGCGTCTGATTTATCTCTGTAACCCTTGCACTTAAGACAGAAGAGGCTCGCTAAGTATTCAGTATTAAATGCCCCACGATGAGCAGTGTTTATGTGGGGGATGGGGTGTGGAGTGAGGAGGCTGGGCAATTAGACGAAGCCCAGGTGAGAGCACCAGAAAAATCAAGAACGGTGAGCCTGGTTTGGCGGCTGAATTCCCTTGAGTGGACTACAACTACCACAAAGCAAAGAAATGGACTACAACTCCCAGAAGGCTGTGCGATCACGTAGGCTGCGAGATGCTTACGTGAAGTTGTGTGCCAATTAGAATCAGCGCGAAATCGACAGAGATAGTGCGATATTTGGGTTTACCCGAGACGCCCCTGGCGAGGGTGAGGAGTCAAAGGGAGCTGGGAAACGGGAGGGGATAAGGGTGGGAGACTGGGTCTTCCAGCGGGGCAGGAGAGAGGTCAGGCCGGAAAAGCTTCGCTTGCGACAGTGGTTCTGCGGCTGTGCCTATGTCCTCACTTTCGTGTGTGTGTTTGCGCGCGCGCTCCACCTCGTTTTCTGTCTATCTGTGACGCTCAGCTTGCACTGTGGGTCAGCATGTAGGGACTGTGGAGCCTGTGGGGACTTCATTTTCCTATATGTGCTCCTGGGCCTGAGCGTTAAGGACCTCTTTCCGGTTAGCAGCGGTTCTCAACCTGTGGGTCGCGACCATCAGAAAACACATATAGCATATCAGATATTTACATTATGATTCATAACAGTAGCAAAATTACAGTTATGAAGTAGCAACAAAAATAATTTTATGGTTGGGGGTCACCACAACATGAGGAACTGTATTAAAGGGTCGCGGCATTAGGAAGGTTGAGAACCACTGGAGAGCCTGAAGTGGGGAATTTGTATCTTGAGTTCTCATCCCCTCTTTGCGCTGGTAGGCAATAGTCCAGTGCTGTTTAATCTAGTTTAAATGGGGACCCTGTCAGTTCCCCACACTTAACGTTTGCCTTAAAAAAAAAAAAAGGGTATCATGATCCTGCCTCCAAAAAGTAACAGGGACTGCCGAAAGGACACACTACTATCTTTTTTTATAAAAAATATTTTTATTGATTTCAGAGAGGAAAGGAGAGGGAGAGAGAGAGAGACATCAATGATGAAAGAGACTCATTGATCTGCTGCTTCCTGCAGGCCCCACACTGGGGGTCCAGCCCCCAACCAGGGTATATGGCCTAACGGGGAATCCAATTGTGACCTCTTGGTTCATAGTCCATGCTCACCCACTGAGCCATGGGGTCATCTTTTGGTGAAATAGAAAAAGGAGAGCCCTGGGATATTTCTGTTATCTCATAGATCCACCGAAAAGTACCGACTGGCATTTAAAAATTAGAGTGAGGCCAAATTTTGTCAAGAGAAAAACATCATGCTGTTTTTTGAAGTATTGGAGGCCCATGCCAGATAATGGGCAGGAGAGATTCCCATGTTGGGAAAGTGGTGGTGTCTTGGAAACAAGGGTTTTCCACATTTCTCCTTGTGGCTGAGAGTAGGCAGTACTCAGTCTCTTGCTAGTAGCCTGTGCATGTGAATATTATCTATCTCCTCAACATACAGTGTTGAGGAGGTTCTCCTAATGAGATTACTGGTGCAGCAAAGTCAAGTATTCTGGCCTCTGGTTTGTGAGAACAGTCTTAGAATGCCAAGGTCTTGAGTGCTGCCTGAAGAGTTCCTTGCCTTTCTTTGGGGGAGAGGGTTTAAAGTACCCCTGTGGCCATGAGACTCCTTTTAAAAAAATATATTTTTATTAATTTCAGCGAGGAAGGGAAAGGGAGAGAGAAACATCAATGATAAAGAGAATCATTGATCAGCTGCCTCCTGCACACCCCACACTGGGGATCCATCCCCAAACCCAGACATGTGCCCTGACTGGGAATCAAACTGGACCTCCTCGTTCATAGGTTGATGCTCCACCACTGAGCCATGCTGGCCAGGCCATGAGACTACTTTTAATGGCTCTGGGTTTGGGGACATGGTGACATTTTAGGGAGCGACAAGAGGTTCATTATTACTGAGGCAGAGTAGAGTATGCTGACTGGTGGGAGATTGGGCTAGAGCAGAAGCCTGGAGCCAATAGTGAGGGGCTTGGACACTAGGCTAAAGGATTCAAGCGCTTAATGTATGCTGGATCTCTGCCCACCCACCCCTGAGTTACATTCTCCTTTGGTCCTAGGCCCTGGCACCTCATCATTCCTATCTTGGGCTGGGCTCATACCCTGTCTGGCCCTTTCTTAGCCCTGGTTTGCTCTGGCTCCACACCTGACCTCATTGTGACTGGCAGCTCCCTGAAACCTTTACTTAACTCTGCCATAATGAAACTCATCATAGGAGACTTACACACCATGACCCTGCTACAAACTGAGGCTCTTTACTCTGCCCAGCCCTGTCTTTCTAAAGGACAGAGGAGTTGCCATTTTTTTTTCTGTGGCTTACCTGCATGGCTTGTGCCCTGGGAGCTTGAGGCTCAGTAATCACAGCCTTCAGCTCTGTAACCTCTGCCTGCCAACTCTTTCTGTTGCTTAAGAGTTCCTTATGAGTACTCAGAGCCCAGGGAAATGAGGCACTGTCTACAGCTACCTTGACTATGCAGATAGGTGGTTCTAACAGGAACTGGACAGAGAGTAACAGGCTTACTAGTTTGTGATTTGATCTTTTGTGAGTATAAACAAAGAACTCCTGCCAGTTGTCATCCTCCATGGGATTATCAGATTGAATTGGTTTGACCTTGCTTTCAAATAAATGTGGATTAAATTATCCACTTTCTATTCCTCAAATATAATTCTCCCTGACCCCCACCTTTTCTAGAAAGGTAATTAAGTTTGGGTCCTTAGCAAAGATGGCTCCAGAGGCCTAGTAGTAAATCTTGGGCTGCCCCACCTACTGCGGGACATAGTAGAAATTACCAACATGGATTCCTGCCCTAAGTTTCACTGATTGCTTTCAGTAACCAGTTCCTTAGGGATATCAACTTGATGTGGTGGAGGTTCAGGGGCTGCATAGATGAAATTCACTTTCTGGTTTTGCAGGAATTTTTCTGTCCTAGCACCAGTTGGCTAGGGTAGGACAGGATCAAGATTTGAGATCTGGTAGGTAGGTTTCCCTAGAGCAGCGGTTCTCAACCTGTGGTTCCGACCATTGGAAAACACATATAGCATATCAGATATTTACATTACAATTCATAACAGTAGCAAAATTACAGTTATGAAGTAGCAACGAAAATAATTTTATGGTTGGGGGTCACCACAACATGAGGAACTGTATTAAAGGGTCGCGGCATTAGGAAGGTTGAGAACCACTGCTCTAGAGAGTCAGATGTGTGCTTCCATCACCTACTATGGGTGCTGATCAGCCTATTGATTAGTTCTGGGAAAAAGCTGGATAGTAGGCCCTCTAGACCAGGGGTCCTCAAACTTTTTAAACAGGGGGCCAGTTCACTGTCCCTCAGACCGTTGGAGGGCCGGACTATAGTTTAAAAAAAAAAACAACTATGGACAAATTCCTATGCACACTGCACATATCTTATTTTGAAGTAAAAAAACAAAACGGGAACAAATACAATATTTGTATTTGCATGTGGCCCGCGGGCCGTAGTTTGAGGACCCCTGCTCTAGACCTTGACAGTTGCTAACAGGGCTCTCCAGGCCCTAGAGTAGACTCAGTTTTGCTCTGAGCAAGCAGGGCTTTGACTGAGGCCCTGGTGTAGAGCAAAGATTGAGATCATTGGCAAATGGCACTTCGGGGGAGTCTTACTGAAGGGAACTGGCCTGTGTTTAACCCCTGTTGAGGAGGGTCTGGGCCTCTGGGAGACTTACAGGTAGGAGTGGGATAATGAACCCAAATGTGATCCTTAGCTCATGAGGCTGTGTGCCAGACTCTTGAAAGCAAATACTGGGCAAGAGGCCCTAGTGAGCCAAGGGGCCTGTGGTGTGAAGAGGAGGACCCTATGGGTACACAGTCACAGAGGTAGCCATTGGGCAACTTACAGGCACTTCCTCTTCAGAGTCTACGTTAGTGTCTCTTCCCCTGCTGATTCTGCCCATTTGAGGACCCTCTAGTACAGAGAGCCATTGCCACTGTCTTTCCTTCATTGACTCAAAGTTTTCTGCTAGAAGAAGCTTCAAAGATCACCTGGTCCTATCTCTGCATCTTCAGATGAAGAGACAGGTCCGGGGAGGGAAGTACCCTGGCCAAGGTTACACACCAGGTCATGAGCACAATCATGGACAGGGCCCAGGGCTCCTGATTCACTGGCCAAGTTTCTGTTCTCTGCCCCACCCTGTTTCAGAGGGTGCAGTTTATTATTCATTCAGCAGATGTTTAGGACCTACCAGGAGGCTGGTGGTTGGTGATTATACCTGGGCACACATTCAGGGGACTTGCTGGTGGCAGTGGTAGTGGTGGGAAGTGGAGAGGGAGAGGCAAGGAAACTGATGAACAAATTTAATTAATGATTATTAAAAAAAGTGCATCCCAGAGAAGGACCCATTTTAAATGATGTCAGATGTAATTCCTCTCTTCTAAACTCATCTATAGATTCCCTGAAGACAGCATCTGTCTTCTACAGTTCCTTTGCTCAGTGCTAGATGTAATTGGTCCTTAGAGATTGCTGCTGATGGAATATATCTTGCTGTCCCAGTCTTCAGAGTATAGGTTTTAGTGTGCCCAAGTTATCATGGGCATTCACGTCCAGCAACATCTGAGGGATAGAGGAATAAACCAATCAGCTGGTCTCACAGGGTGACCTACATCCCTTTATGCTTGTCTCTCCCTAGGCTTGGATTTGTAGAGTGGTGTCCAGTCTGATCTACAGGGACAGGGACAGAGGCAAATCTCTTAGCTCCCTGAAGCCCTCTGGCCCCCTTGTTGCTGAAGGTTCCACCTCACAGGCATTCTGCCACTCCCTTCAGTTAATCAGCCTGGCCCACTACAGTAGCTCCTTACCCTGCCCCTCCAATCTCACCACCACCAGGACCCCCTTCACACTGTCACCAGCACCATCTTTCTAAAATGGAAACTCACCCTTGACCTGACTTTACAGCCTTACCTCCCCATGCCCATTACACTTTAGCCTCACTACTAAGCTGCTCCCTGTTCACCAAGCCTGCCACCTTTCTTCACGCCTTTTCATCTTTGTAAGATTGCTCCACTATCAGTAACTTGCAAGGTTATTTCCCTCACTCTGGAAAACTTACTTGTCTTTTAGGACTCAACTTGAATGTTAATTTTTCCTCAGACAGTTACTATTGGCAGCCATAGTTCCTGGTATTGACCTTCCTCACAGTGCTGGCCACATTACATTGTAATTGACCTATGTGTGGTGAGGGTGTCTGGCCTTCTTATCAAACTGTGCTCCCAGAAGCTGGGACTGCTGATCCCTCAGGAACCCCAGCAGTTGGGAGGTTTAACAGGGTGCTCAATACATTTTGGTTGAATGTATAAATGAAGTGGGCACCCCTTGTTCTGCTTTTAGATTCCAAATCCTGACAGCTTTATGGAGCCCAGTTCTGGCAGGCTCCCAGAACTCGAAGCCACCAGACCCCACATGGAACCAAGGGCCTCGTGTCCAGCCGCTGCGCCCTCGGTAGAGAGGCAGTTCCGTGTCCTTGTGGGTGTCACTGGGAGTGTGGCGGCCCTGAAGTTACCTCTCCTGGTGTCACAGCTTTTGGACATTCCTGGCGTGAGTATCTTTACAAGACAAGCATGGCGACCTCTGACGTTAGAGAGTTGCTGGTCCTATAGCCAGCCCACTTTTGTGCAGTGCACAGGGTTTCTTCTTCTTAATTATGGTGTTTGTGGCTGTCTGTGTATATTGGTGTGAGGGGAACGCAGGGCACAGAGACCGAATTTGCCAGTTTAACCAGGAGCTGGATTAGATAGTTTGGACAGAGCTTAAGGGAAGACTGGGAAAGGAACACTGATAAGTGGAGGCAATGAGTTTCCATATGTTGACCCTGAGATTCCCTAACGTCCTGGCATGGGCGGAGGGCTAGCTGGAGAAATGGCAGCAAATTCTCTGTGTTCCCTTCTGCTTTGGGCTCCCTGCCCCTGCTTTCACTCTGTCTTCTACACTGTGGTTCTGTTCTCCCTCCTTAGATACCATGGCTGTCCTATCAGTCCAAGTGCATTGTTCACAGCTCTGGTTTAAATTTTGCTCCTTCAAGTGTTCATCCATGCCCAGGGGCCACTGCATTGTGTTCAGTGTGAGGGGTTTAATCCCCAGCCATTGGCCAGACCATCTCAACTTTAATCAGTTTAATATATTGGGGTCTGGGGTAGTCTTCTGTGGGAAAAGTTCTACGCTTTAAACAGTGTGAAAGCCAGCAGGTAACCCATTTCCTAATCTGGTATCCAAGTGCCTTCATTGACCTCCCACTGCCACACACTCCATTCTGAAGGCCTTTGCTTTGGCCATTCCCTGCCAGGCTGCACTGCCCTCTCTGTCTTTCCAAATTCTGCACAAAAAATTCATGTAGAAACCTTCCTGACCTGCCTCAACCCATGTGATTTTGCTCCCTTGCAAAACTCATTTAATGTATTAAAGTGGTAAGAACATTTTATTCAGAAAAGTTATGGCAGAAAAAGTTATTCAGAAAAGTTAAGCCCAGTGTAGAACTGGGCTTAATTCTGAATACAACAAGGAAAAGGGGGGATTATAGCCAAGGAGCAGTGTGGGAGCCAGTGGACGGAAAGATCGCTAAGAGGAAACATTCTGACTAAACTGTCCCAACAGGATTCTTGCTGAAAGCAGGCAGGGTAATCACACATCTTCTGGATGAGAAGCCTGATGAGATCCAGGATAGTCAGATATCGAGGGGGGTGGGGGTGGGCTTCTGGAGAAACCAACTTATGAGCAGGATTGTTGCTCTTGAGGACAAGGCTCAAAGACAGGCCAAGTCAAAAAAGTAGCTCACTACAGTTTGGTCAAGGAGAGAATCTTGATTAAGATGGGGAACCATCAATTGCCGTTGACACTGCTTGTGTTGTTGGAGACTAGTTTTGTGGAGTAGTGTTAAGCCACTGGGGCTTGGGTGATGCTTTTCCTTGATTGTTACCTGCACAGCTCCTGACGCAGGATGGCACAGGTGGGTGTACCCGGTGTGTCCAGCAGGGAGCAGTGCTCATCAGCAGATGAACATGTTGAGATTCCAGGCAGGGACTGGGAAATCTTTCACTAAACTTCTACCCAGAAAATCAGCCCCTCACCTCACACCCCCACCCCCACCTCCCAGGCCAGGAGAAGCAGTAAGGCAGGCAGCCATGGATGCCAGCTAGGCCAGATAGGAAAAGAGAGGAGAGTCTTGTGGCTATTCTGAGGCTGGCACTGGTGCTGCTGGGGCAGGGCTACCTGGAGCCTGCCACCCTCATGTGCCCTAAACTGTTGGTAGGAGCTAGCCAGCAGAGCCCTGAGGGTGGGAGGCCTGGAAGGGATTGCAGTAGCAGCAGCCTCTGCCATTGCCCCCTAGGGAGGGAGGAAGACACGTAGTTTCCCTTTCCCATAGCCCCAGAGCAAGTACATTTCCAGACTGGCTGGTGGCAGGGAGTCCTAGCCCAGGAAACAGATGGGCAGCTTCAGAGCTAAGGGAAATGGCAGCTCCACGCATCCTGGTTCCATGCAGCCAGCATTTATAGAGGTATGAAGAAAGGGTTGCCTGGGGCAGGAAGGTTCTCCAGCCCACTCCAGGCTTTTTAGCCTGGTCTGCTGAGGGACAGGCTATATCTGGAACGGGACTCAGTTTTCCCTCTCTGGCTGGAGTTGAAGCCAGAAGATGGGTAGCCAGAAAGTCACTGACCTGGGAAGAAGGATGTCCTGACTTAGCCTCATGGAGCCTGCTTTTTTTGGTTTAAAATTAGGATGACTACTCTCACCCATCCTTTTGGGCTCTTGTCAAGGCTCAGAAAGGGGAACACAGATGAAACAGTTTGTCATCTTGTGCCAAAAGCTAGGCACAGCTCCTGGCACATGAAAGCACTTAACAGTGTTTGTTTCCTGTCCTTCACTCTCTTTCCCCTTACTGTTAAGTCCTTTGGGCCAGCCATATGGGAAGAATCATGGGATCCACAATCCATCTGTTCAAGTAGAGGGCCCACATCCATGTCACCTTAGGCTCTTTCATCCTGCAGGTAGACAGCTCCTCAAAGAGCCTGGGTTTGTTGGTGGGGCCCTTGTGAGGTGTTGGTAACTAAGGGGGATCCCTGGCTTGCCTTGTGTTGACCCTGAGGTAGCACTTATCCACATTCTCTGATGGCACTGATCTCCCCATTTCTGCATCACCCCCGAGGAGCAATCTTTGTCCCTTGAAGCAGTCCTTCTCTGCTCTTTGTCTAAGTCATGGGTTCACATGCCAAGGCACCATTAGGTATACCTAGATTCTGACTAGCAAACAAGAAGCTGGGGTGTGGCTGCAGGGAGTTGAGTGATTCCACAGATGTGGCTCATAACTACTCCTGATTCACCTGTGTCCAGTCATCCCAGCAGAGCCACTGACATAGAGCCAGACCAGGGAAATTGTGAGGGCATGAGGGAGAGGAATGGATTTGGCCTCAAGACTCACATACCAACTGTCAGGGAAGGGTGGCCACCAACAAAGTAGACTTGGAGTCTTTATGTGAGGTGGGGGGAGTTGGACAACAGGGGCCAGCCTTACCTCAAGAGAGGTAGCTGAACCTGTCCGGTGTAGCTCAGTGGTTGAGTGTCAACCTATGAGTCAGAAGATCAGGGTTCGATTCCTGGTCAGGGCACATGCTCGGGTTTCAGGCTCCATCCCCAGTGCGGGGTGTGCAGGAAGCAGTTGATCTGCTGGGGTCCAACCCCAGCAGGTCCAGGGGTCCCCAAAGGTGAGGACGGAGTCGGCGAAGAAGGAATGACACGGAGACAACGTTCAGTTGATCAGCAGCCTAGCCAGGATCTCTAGCCAGGATCTCCAGCCAAGTTCTGGTCTGGATCTCCAGCGAAGTTCTGTTCAGGATCTCCAGCGAAGTTCTGGTTAGGATCTCCAGCCAGGTTCTGTGTCCATGTTCTCTTGCTAGGTTCTCCAGCCAGGTTCAGTCACCAGGTTCTAGTCAGGTTCTCTTGCCATGTTCTATCCAGGTTCTGTAGCCAGGTTCTGTCTCTAGGTTCTTCAGCCAGGTTCTCTTGCTAGGTTCTGTGGCCAGTTTCTGTCCAGGATCTTTTGCCATGTTCTCTCGCTAGGTTCTGTGGCCAGTTTCTGTCCAGGATCTTTTGCCATGTTCTCTCCAGCGAAGTTCTTCTGTCTCTAGGTTCTGTGTAGGTTCTGTGTCCTGTTGTCTTGTTACATCTGTATTTATACCAGTTGATTCCAATCCTATCAATCTCTATTCCAAAGGTTAGGGCGTTTCTTATCTCCATTCCAGGGAGTAAAGATTATGTAGCTTAAGCATGATTGTTCGTAGTTAAAGTGATTAATTACCTGCCTGGCACTTAGTTAAGGGTTTTTTTATTTTTTTATATTTTATTGATTTTTTACAGAGAGGAAGGGAGAGAGATAGAGAGTTAGAAACATCGATGAGAGAGAAACATCGATTAGCTGCCTCCTGCACATCTCCCACTGGGGATGTGCCTGCAACCCAGGTACATGCCCTTGACCGGAATCGAACCTGGGACCTTTCAGTCCGCAAGCCGACACTCTATCCACTGAGCCAAACCGGTTTCGGCTAGTTAAGGGGTTTTATTCCCTCCGTAACTTCAGGGGAAAATCCCTACCTGGGGAAACAACCTTTCTCAGAGAGGTGACCTTGGTTAAAACACATAGTGCCAAGAAGGTGAGCAAACATATTAAGAACAGTATGCCATATATGCCAGGTCCCTTGAAACCACAAGGATTGACGGCTCCCGGCACTGATCAATGATTCTCTCTCATCATTGATGTTTCTCTCTCTCCCTTCCTCTCTGAAATCAATAAACATATATATTAAAAAAATAAAAAAAGAGGCAGCTGAGTGTAGAGAATTTCTCACTCTGGGACCCTGGGCAAGTTAGTTCTTTATTGCCTCAGTTCCCTCCCCTCCCCTCCCCTCCCCTCCCCGCCCCTCCCCTCCCCTCCCCTCCCCTCCCCTCCCCTCCCCTCCCCTTCCTCACCTGAGGATATTCTGTCCATGGCTTTTCAGAGAGAGGATGGAAGGGAGGCAGGAAGGGAGGAGGGGGGAGAGAGAGGTGAGAGAGACACATTAATTGGTTACCTCCCACATGTGCCCAGGTTGGGGTGTGGAGTGAACCTGCAACCCAGATATAAGCCCTTGGCCAGGAATCGAACTCCCGACCCTTTGGTGCGCAGGCTGATGCTCTAATCATTTAGCACACTAGCCAGGGCTGGCCTCAGGTTTCTTATTCATGCACTGAAGAGAAGCTACTCAAATGACCCATCTACAAGACCTCTTTGGCACTAGTGATAGAAGATTCTAGATGTAAGAGCACAAAGGACTAGGGCCCAAAAGCATCTTGAGAGAAGGTCTTGGGGGGAAGGAGCTTCGGGATTTTTTGCAGTTCATAATTGTCATGTAATGGGGTGGCAGTTAGTGTGAGTTATCAGTCAGTTTCTGCCCTTTGGTTGGCATCCTTCTCACTTGGGAGGAGAAAACAGATACCTCTAGCTTTGCTAGGGCAAGCATCAGCAGGGCTGAGAGCCAAAAGGGGATTTCTATTTTTATTATTATTAAAAA